TGTACATGTGGGCAAATCTCCGAAACTGGCTCAGCTTTAAATTAATTTTTCTAATGTAATTTTACTTTTTATAAAAAACTTGTGTAATTTTTATAACACGTTTGACGAATTCTTGTAACATATTTAGTTTTTTTTTTTAATTTTAATATTGTCATTTTAATTTTTATAAAGAATCAAAATTAATTAAAATAATAATTAGAGCAACAAAATCCTGATGGACAATTTTTAGAATTCTTGTCTGTCTGTATGTTTGTTTGTACGCACATCACTCGAAAACTAATGCATAAAATTAAATGCAGTTTTCACCGTTGTATTGCTAGGGATCTAACTTAAAATATAGAAAGACAAAAATTGAGAGTTGCCACCCGCTTGAATATTACAGTTTAATTAATTTTTCAGGATAAAGTAAATGTTGAAATATGGATGTCAAAAGAAAAAAAGATTAAGAAGGCTTACAGTCGAAAATATGTTTGTTTAGGTTGCCACATATTTGAAATTTTAATTTAATTTACTTGATAAGATAAATTAAATATTGAAATGTGGGTATTACACTGAGGAGTTTTAAGAATGTTTACTGGCGAAAATATATCTGAGGAGGGTTGCCACCTGTTTGAAAAATTGTATTTAATAAAATTTATAAAATAAATGAAATATTAAAATACAGGGATCAGGATCAAGCAACACAAAAATACTTATAAGGCGCAGTGAATCACGCCGGGCTTTTTTATAAAAATGCAGCATATTCTACGTGTACGATTTTAAAATTTCATAAAAATTAGCTATCACAATGACTTGCAGTGCATAAGTTAATAATAATTTTCGAAAAATTCTGGGTAGGCAGTTTTGTTTCCCATTAAATTTTAGTTACAAAATACCGTTCCTTTTTTAAAATTTTTTTGTATGGGAGAAAATGCATGACACGGTCAACAAACAAAAAATTTCAAAAATCAACGGTATTTTGTAGCTAAAATTTAATGGGTTAACAAATTTTTAAATATTTATTCAAACATTATATTTATAAAAGATCTTAAGCAAAAAGTAGTTTTTCGTAATTATTATTTTTTGATTTGCGCGTGGCTCGCCCACTTATGTCAAATATTTGTATCTCGAAAACCACTTCGCCACTCTATACCAAATTAGATATAAACATTGCGCCTGACCTTCTTAAATAGCGTCTCGAAAATTTTTTAAATGGGACAAAAACTACGCTCTTTATGTCGAAATTTTAAAATTTACGTTTTTTCAACGTTGAATCGCTCGATCCCGAAGATTTGCTCATATACATATGTATGCACTTAAATATATGTAAGTGTAAAAAGCTCAACTTTCACTGAGTCTGTTTTACTTTGCACTTAACTTGATAGATTTACATGCGTACGCATACAAATAGATATGTACATGAACTTGTGCCCACACTAGGGTGATTGACTCGGTTTTTTCAAACCGGTTTTTGAATATTTTTCAATTTGGCGATATTAGAAAATTTGAAACATCGACGGAAACTGTCGAGTTTTGAACCGATATTATCGTTGGATAGGAGTGTGTAATAGGCGTTGCATTGGTTTTTGCTTTTTTCATATTCATTTTTTTCCTTTTTCTATTTATTATTTTTTTAATTTTATTTTGGCTATGGCGCTGGGTAAAAAGCGTATATCGACAGGCACACTTGCGATAGCATTCGAGATTGGCCATTTGCGCCACTTATGGCGACATTTAGCTGATGAATGCCAGCCACAAATATTTTCTTTATTTTTTTTCAACCAATTTTACAGCTGTGCTTTGCGATACGAGTAGCTGCCGAAAAAAAAAAATAAAAACTAAAACCAAAGAATAAAAACATTTTTTAACGTTGACTAGGAAAACATTCCAATCACGTATTTGGCTGGAGCCGTGTGTAGCTGTGGCGAGTGAATGTGCAACAAAGCGTGTAAGCTGGCAGCGAGTAGCAGAGCAACAAAAGTGTTAAAAAGTAATAGTAAAAAAATACGATTTAGATAACGCAAGAATAAAACAGATTGTTTAAAAAAAAAACAAAAAAAATACTTAAGCGCAGCAACAAAATTTACAGAACCAACAAAGAAAATTCCTCTAAAATGTACAAGAGAAAGGTCTAAAGTGCTTGGGTGTGTGCAGATGATGTTTTGTTTCTTGTAAATGCAACAAGCGATAAATCGATGATTCAGCAAAGAATTTGAAAAAAAAATTAAATAAAAAATTAACTGAAATTGGCTGAAGTGACTGGCAAGCTGCTAAAACAAGTGATTTTAACGAATGTACCTGCTGCTAAGACAAATAATTTTGCTTACTTAGTGAATGTGATTTAAAAGAAAAAATTATTAAAAAACAAATTATTTTAAATAACTCTACTTGCGGATTGCTTCAAAAAAAATAAATAAATAAAAAATAAATAAATTTTTTAACTTTTATGTCGCGCGCTTTTTCGTAATTTTTGTTCATGTTTTTTCTCGCATGCGATACATATCTCACAAAACTACCTACTTAACAAAAATTTATAATTAACCCTTTCGGGTACCAGCACCTAAAAAAAAAAAAAAAACAAATTCAAATTCTAATTATAATTCAACTGGCAAAATATAACACCCACCATCCATACATACCGCGTGCAACGAAAATAAATGCACCAACAGAGCTTAAGTTGCGCCCAATTATAACGCAGACGACGCGCAAAACGACAGCCTTTGAAGTTGCCGGCACCGCCTACGTCTACCACCTACCACCCACCTACCAAAAATCAACCAACCAAAGCGTCACACAAAGTTAATTAATTAGCGCGTAGTTACCACCTGAGGGAAAGGGAGAGCAGAGCAGAGGTTTTCATTTCGAAAAGTGTTAAATTAAAATCCATCAAAACGGCTAACGAAGCGCTCGCCCTGGCGGCTATATCAGCGCCAACAACACCACCACCACCACCATCAGCGTTGCTGCTGTTGACACCAACCTCAACTACGCCAACGACGCCAACGACGGCATCGACGCGCTCACCGGTAGAGGCGCCAGCAACATCAACGCCCCCCGTCGAACTGCGTTTGGCAGTGGCGTCAGCGCCACAAATTGAAGAAGTGGCAAGCTCGCACCACCAGGCAGCAACAGCTGGTGTAAAGCAGGGGGAGGTGTTAGAGGAAATTCTGCCCGTCGAAGCGGAGTTGGTGTCGGCGCAAAAAGCTGCAGCTGCAGGCGAAAATAGCAGCCTAACTGATAGCACAAGTGATATTGCGCCGGTTGTTGTTGCTCCACAGCAGTGCACAACGCAGCCGAATACGACTGTAGCAACAGCAGCTGTGCCAACAACAACACCCACACCAACACCAACGGCAACTCATACGGCTACCAGTAGCCCTCTTACGAACGGCAATAATAATAGTCTGCGCCGTAAGAACGGCAACTTTAAAGAAAGTCCAAAAGACGACGCTACCACCACCGCTTTAACTAAAGGCTTGTCTAACCATTATACCCTTGGTCGCAGCAATAAGCCGAAAGTTAATTTGAAAATGCCCTTCAAGGTTGCCAAACGTATTTGTCAGCGTCGCTTGCGTCCGAAGGCTGTCGACGAAAATTATCCACAACCGCAGTAAGTTTGTTGAGAAAATGCTATGTATGTACTAACATTTAAAAATTTTTAAGAGATTTATTGTTAACCTTTTCGTAATTGGTGTTGGAAAATATCGAGTACTTTTCAGGATCGAGTTCTTTGGTATCGATAGTTTTGAGGATCGGGTATTTTTGTGATTACTGAGTTCATTCTGCAACTTATTAAATTTAAAACATTAATCCCAAATTATAACAGATGAACGGCTATCTGTACTAGGTACAAGTACTCGAAAATTGTAGAAATTTGAAATTTAGTACACTCAGTTCTGAATACCGGTACATTTTAATATAATTCGGTAATTTTAAGAATCTATTCGACACTTAAGACTAAATACTTTGAATCGATCCTGAGCACATGTATCAGAGAGATGATTGGAACTGAGTATATTTGAGTACTGAGAACTTGTTTGAGTTCTGAGTACTTTTGAGTTCTTTTCTGAGTACTGAGTAGCGATACTTAAAAAAATCGGTCCGTCGATCCTTTTGAGAATCGAAATCTGAGTACTTTTGGTATCAATTTTGCCCAACACTAGTTATGATTATAGCTTAATTGGTTTACATAGGTTAACTAACAGAAGTGAGCTTCTGAGGGGAAACATAAATTTCGAGAAAAAATGCATCCCAAGAACTCCATGGGGAAGGCTTCCCCTTTTGAAAGAAAACAACTGAGTGTGTGTAGTCCTTACGCGGGAATAAGTGAAACTTAATTGAACGAATTCCAGTACGAACTTTTGCGACTTATGTAAAAAAAAAAACGTTAATGAAACAAGCGCTGTTATAGAAAAAACCTGCATACAATACGAATTATGTATGTAAATTAGGGTGGTCCAAACAACAAAGTATAAAATTTTAAGCCTCAACTCTTAGGATTTTTCTAAATGGATGAAAAGAATACCCATATTTTTTTGTTTAAAAAATTATATTTAGAACTGCTTCAAAGCCCATAAAGTTTTCCATGTATTTTATATAGGAAACAACACTTTTCCGTAGAAGTGGTATAGAATTTGAAAATCTATATTTTTTCATCGTAAAACTCTGTTTCTCTTCAAGCAGGGATCACACGATTTGAACATTTGTACAGATTTGTACATTTTCACAGGTACAGAGTGGTGCTTCTATTTGAAAATATAATCATAACAGCACTTGTAGTCACATAGCTTTGTGTCTCAAATCGTAAGCATTAATGGTCTCAGTGTGAGTATTCGTCCTTCGGCAAATTTCAATGTTCTCTGTCTAAATTACTTTTATTTTCACCAACCTCTCCATTTAATAATCATATCAGCAAGTACCTTCAATATATGTACCTATCTACATAACTTTCATAAGTCAAACTTTTTCATTGCAAATGAAAGTCTACGTGACAGTTTACAAATATTTGAAAGACAATTGCACAGATTCTTAAAAAATCTAAATATATACGATTACATACTCACATATGTAATAGCATATACGCAAAATTTATTCTTCCACTAACATACATATATACGAGTACACATATATTTATGTACACTTTTGTCGATACCTTACAGAGATCTGCATTTTTAAG